GGCCATTTTTACCGAAACACTTACACCATAGTACCACACTCCTCAGTAACGAACAAGTAAGTTTTTTGGAATTAAATTATCATAAAACAATTAATCTACACCAGGAATATAAAAACAAAAATACTATATTGTTATTGTTGTTTCTCAATGACGAATGTCCATGGTGGTTGACACTGTTGACATTTGACAGAACGTCAATAATACCCGCCATATTCGAAATGGCCAATCAGCAAATTGTGTTGGAACTATAGCCAATGAGACTTCACCTTCGCATTACCCAATAAATTTTTGGATCTAAAAACGAGCGCATGCGTCTCAAAAATATATCTAGATGAAAAGGCCTATTCGCATTGTTACCTAGCGGGGCATGAATGTGACATCCCAGGGATGTTTGTATTTACTGGGAAGTACGATGAAATTTTTGATCGCAGAACAATCAAGGAGAAGTAAACACATTTAGAATCTCTTTTCATTTTACAACTTCCATAATTTGTTCCGGATAGATCGCTTTCTTGCTCGTAAACAACTCAGATTCGTCGTAAATGTATAGGAAATTATAAATAGAAAAATATAATATTTCGTAGTGGCAATAGGCATGCATGCCTGATTTCCGTTTGATATTTCACTCACAGTCTCTACTATCAAATCGTATTTTTCAGACACTCGCCACATATTCATTTCATAATTTTTAAGCGCAGTGACGCTTTGGACCAGGGGCGTCCGCAGGAATAATCTCAGGGGGATGGGAAGTCACAATTTTAATGTACCGGGTGTACCACTAAGAAAGGACGCCGGCTGTATCTCGCGGAAACTATTTGCCGCACAGGTTTCGGAAAAAAATATTCATGATAAAAATGGCCAAGAAAAATCTCTGGAAATTATTTTCAAGTTTCCATCAGGACAGCCGCTAGAGGGCATAATTGCATTGGCCAACTTAAAAAACGGGTTTTCATGAAAATTTGATATATCAAGACATATCAGAAACACTTTTTCCATGTTCTCGAGTAGATTTCCAATCATTTCGATCAAGAAAAATTGTGCTAGCTCTTTAAATAAAAGAGGGAGGGAAGGATGAATAGTACTCTGGAAAAACTCTTATTACTACAGTTTGGTGTGACGGAATTAAGCGATCTTGGTCTCATTATGAAGGGTTTCTTCAGATCTTCCCGATAAATCACGAATCAAGTCGATTTAAGTCCCGTGGTAGCCGCTAGATGGCATCGTTTTAAAAATCAGCCGATTTGCCATTTTTCTTCGAGAATTTCAAATGGAACCATATATTTTTTCTGCTGTGATATGAAAGTGAAGTAAACGAGAAGAAGAATGGTGTAAACCGCGAGTTGATACCTCTTGAAGAACCGGAGAAATACTTGGAATAATATTAAAATTTAAACTGTTAGCATGTCAAATGCCTCCTCATTCGTTATCGGCATTTTGACAAATCAGCAATCCACAGTGAAAACTTTCAATGGAACTCCAATTATATTTTGACGTTTCTTTCATTCAAAGCCAACTTGCCTTTTCTCATTCCTGAGCCTATACTGACTACTTACATTTCAATTAGCTATGTCATTACTAAGAGTCTCCTTCACTATTGTGAGATATAAGAGCAGTTTGTGAAACCAAAATAAATAAAATATTGAAATCGTAATTTCATAGATACAGGATATTTCTGATGACGATTAGAAGTTGGATTCTTGTGGTGAATATTTTCATAATATTATTTCGAGTATTTCACCGGTTCCTTGAGAGGCATCAATTCGCGGTTTTCACCATTGAAATTTTCGAAAAAAATGGAAAATTGTCTGATTTTTCAAACGATGCCATCTAGCGGCCACAACAGGATTTAAATCGACTTGATTCGTGATTCATCTGGAAGAACCAAAAAAACCTTTCATAATGAAACCAAGATCGTTGAATTCCGTTGCACCAAACTGTAAGTAGTAATGGGAGTTTTTTCAAAGTACTATTCATCCTTCCCTCTCTCTTTTATTTAAAGAGCTAGCACAATCTTTTTTGATCGAAATGATTAGAAATCAACTCAAGAACATGAGAAGAGTGTTTTTGACATGTCTTGATATATAAAATTTTCATAAAATCCCGTTTATTGAACTGGCCAATGCAATTACGCCCTCTAGGGGCTGTCCTGGAAACTTGAAAATAATTCATAAACAAGACACACTAAGCCATCTCCACTTTATTAACTGAATAATCAGTGTATGAACATGTTTCAGACTATCAATAATCCATCATCAGCAGAAGCATATTTTAATTGACAATTTGTGGAAGTGAAAAAAGGAGAAGATAATAATATTGCAATTTGCCCTTCTTTATTGTAACAATGTAAATTGTACTATGTAATAATTCCTGTTAAGAAATTCGAAAAAAACATTGAAGATGGCTAAAACACATAATCAGGACCGTATTAACAAGACTGTTTTTGGTTCTACGAATATGAAACGTTCGCGTAGATCACCACGTTAAATCTCATCAAAAGTTGATTTGCAAAAGTATGTTTAATTTTTCTGTATCTCTAATAATAACGTTGAAAAAAGAATTAGAATAAATTTCCCAAATATTCACTTTTTTCGTTATAACTGAAAAACTATACATGATTTTGTAAATTTTTAAGGCCGTTAGTTCGAATCTCTGATTGCCTTATTTTGGTCATTGCTATCCCATCTTATATATTGATATCCCCATTGTATGTATTCACACCTCCATGAGGCACTTCATATCAGAAAAAAAAACAATCAAAATGTGCAATTACCAACAATAAAAATCGTTTTTTATGATATTCTTATATAGCTTATTTGATGTCTGAGCCAAACCTCGAAATTTTTATTTATATTATGACCGACATAATTGACCTAAAATGTTTATAACCATAAAATAGATTGAAAACACTGCTGAGTACTTCATCGCTGATTGAGATGAATTTTATATTAACCAGACCTAGGCCCAGACACTGGATGAGTCAGAGATCAAATAGGATAAGAAATAGGAATAGAGGAAAGAAAATATTCAGGCATTTTGGAGAGGAGTCAGAATAAGATAGGATAGACCATCGCTTGGTACGGTTTCAAATTCCTTATTTTATTCGAAGTGAGAAGTTTTTATCAATGTTGTGTGTGCCAAAATGTATCCTGTCTGAAATACACGATATACAGGGTATTATCGGAATGAATGTATATACAGGGTATCTGGAAAGGTCATGTAGTAAATGATAGAACTGATAGAGTGAACCAAAATAACGTTAATACTTCATATAAAAAAAATCTCTATCGCACTTCGTTACGGAGTTTTTGACATAGGGTTATGGAACTGTGATGGCAACGTCGCTTCGTTCTTTACGATTCTCGTCGACTAGCTCGCGATGAGTAGAATTTTGAGTGGAAAAAGGAACATTATTGCTCCAAATCTCATTTTGATCGTTATATTTTTTTCAGTAGTACCTATCGATAGGCCACCCTGAGCTTCCTCATGGTTCAAATTTGATATACTCATTTCGATAACACCCTGTATACACGGTGTTCGATAAAATCATGATTTGATTTTGTATAAGCTTCGGGTAGGCATGTAAGATTTTTTTTGTTTGACTAGAAATAATTTTCTTATACAGTTTCCTTATCCAATTGTTACATTAAATAGTTATTTTTGTATCTAGAGCGCGAAATGCTACTTTGGTGATCGAGATCTGATTTTTTTAACGAGGCGTAGCCGAGTTGAAAAAATAGTCGAGATGACCAAAGTATTTCGCGCTCGAGTTGCAAACAACATTTTTTCTACAAACCTCAAAAAATATTGTTTTAAAGTGGAGATATGCTCAGCTTGATATAAAAAATAGTGTTGAACTGGCTTTAATGGCCTCCCCCTATCCTCCCTAGGTACGCACGAAGTTCCACGAATATGGTAGGAATTTCCTTTCGTGCGCTCCAAGAGATAAAACGAAGTTATTCATTGAACATTCAGTAATAAATGATCTCGTGGATGTTTGCTCGATTGTGGACCATTAAGTTGAAATATAAATATCTCATATATTTTACATAACAGTGCGCGAAGTAGGTACTTCGCGCACTGTTTTACTTCGCGCATTGTTTTGTGCAAGGTATCATTGTAACGTAGGAAACTTAAAAAAAGTGTCACTTCGCAATTTGTTATCAATGCGCGAACCTTGTCATTTTTTGACGTTTGTAGAAAAATATAATTTTTCTACAAACGTCAAAAAATGACAAGGTTCGCGCATTGATAACTAACTGCGAAGTGACACTTTTTTTCAGTTTCCTACGTTACCATGATACCTTGCACATAACAATGTGCGAAGTAAAACAGTGCGCGAAGTACCTACTTCGCGCATTGTAATGTAGAATTAATGAGATATTTATATTTCAACTTTATGGTTCTCAATGGAGCAAACATCCATGAAATCATTTATTTCTGAATGTTCAACAATATATAACTTCGTTTTGTCTCTCGAAGCGCACGAAAGGAAATTCCTATTATGTTCGTGGAACATCGTGCGTACCTAGGGAGGATAGGGGGAGGCCTTTAAAGCCAGTTCAACACTATTTTTCATATCAAGCTGAGTATATTTTCACTTTAGAACTATATTTTTTGACGTTTGTAGAAAAAATGTTGTTTGCAACTCGAGCGCGAAATACTTTGGTAATCTCGACTATTTTTTTAACTCGGCTACGCCTCGTTAAAAAAATCAGATCTCGATCACCAAAGTAGCATTTCGCGCTCTAGATACAAAAATAACTATTGTTTGTGTATAGGTATCAAACTAAATTTCCCGAAAATAGTATAATTTCTATCTAATTTTCAGGTAATAAAAATGATGATTTCGCTGTCATTTCATTTATTTTTGCATGAGTATTTAAAAAAATGTGTTTTTCTTAAAGCTTAACGTTGTCTATATCAGGAACTATGAATTTTTGGACCCTAGTCTTTATCAAAATCAGGCTTGATTGCTTTCCTTATCCCGAAAAGTATTTTTTTTATTTGGATAAACCCTGTGAAGGTTTCCCTACTGGATTCTGGTCCAGCACTTCCTTCAATTCTGCATCACCTTCCTTTTTATCAATTTCATTATCTTGTTCCACGTTGTTCCAGTACTGGCATTCACCAGAACCAAAAAAACCAAAGATAATTGCGCATGCCAAGTTCATAACACCTGCTATTATGTAGATGATCCTCCATTGTCCTTTATTGGTCTGCAAAAAAATCATGCTATGGTAAAACAGCTGGGGACACTATTTTCTGAAGAAGTATGATGAACTCATCAAGATGAAAAAAGAACGGGAATTTGTTCATATTTTCTCCTAAAAAAACGCCTGTGGTACTACTGACGTCATAAATTTGATACTATCTATACATAATCATCGTGTGTATGATGTGTCATTTATGTATCAAGGGCGAAAAATAGGCTCTTATGGACCGTAGCGTGGAAGTAAGAGCCTAGGTCCATAAAAGCAAGTTACGCCCGATATACACACAACATTTTATGCACGACCGGTATATTTGATTTTTCATTTTGGATATCTCTTCACCTCTCAAGCACGATAGAAATACATCATTACATAATCGTTGATTGATATATTACGCTGGGTAAGCGTAATATATCAATCAACGACATAATTCACACTAGAGGACATTTGAAGCGTTGAACATGACAACATGGCGCGCACGACTTGTGGGTGTGGTCTTGTCCCTTCTCAGCATTCAGCACAATGTTGCCAAGTCTCCAACATTCACATGATATGTTGTTATGGAGTATTCTGTATTAGAGATATTTGGGTTCCTCCTATTATGTTTTATTCAACGACAAGACTCTTACATCTTTTTGATAACTTGATTATAATTGGTGACTTGACAACCTTGCTTCGTGAGGGGGAATGGAAGATTATCTGACTAATAACAAAACAGCATAAAAGCTGACGTCACCATTTATTCGACGTATCGTCAAATGGTGGCAATGATATAATTAATTTATAGGAAGAGAAGACATTGTAATTGTGATATTAACACCTATGTATGAATTGAGCAGTTAAATGACAGTTTTTGAAATCGATTGGTAGTTAAAACCTTCATCATCTAGACATATTGAAGAATGTATAGTTTCCTTTATATATTTCTTTGGGATAGTATTCAATCGACTTGGCGTCTGTACTTATTTTCCAAGAATTTGTTGGATGTTGGGTGTTGATAAAATTACTCATTCATATTATTATTACTAACTCCAGTTATTTGAAATGAATTCACTAGTTTGTGTCGATGACTTTCATCATCTACTCCAACAAATGTTTTCACTAACCACCTGTTGAAGTGCTACGTTGCCAAACGCACAAAAACATAGGAGAACATCGGATTCGCCTCATGTAACGTTTCGTACTCGACTCACTTCATCAGTGACGATATACTGAATGGTTATCGGCGTGATAATGGAGAAGACTTCGGCGGCAGTGTTGATGATCCCCATGAGAGTGCCAGAGAAATTAGGGCTCAAATCAATGTGGTTGACCATGTAGCCTACTGAGACTGGCGAGCGGGCCGTTGCTTGAGCAATGAGTGTCACTACTGACCACGTGATGGCGTTTGCTGACAGAAAGCCGAAAGTGAAGACGAAAATTGCCGCTCCGACGCAACCTAAAATGAAACAAATGGCGCGCATTCAATGTAAAATATGTTTTCACAAATGATAAGATTTCCGCAAAATTCGTAGTGTGGATTTATGCAGCATCAATTTACAATTATCAATAAGTAACAATTATCAAGTAAGGAGTAGCTAAAATGTTACCATTTATGTGATTGATGATGATTATTATGGTGTGGTTTATTTAATCCTTATTTTAATCCATGGTATGGCTCTGTATGTATATCCAGCTATATCTGGAGGGTATTTATAGGGTATAATTATAATATCAGGTTCGTTAGATCTATATCGATCCACTAATTAGGGTATGTTCGCTCGTAGACCGGATAGACATTAAGTATAGGAAAACGAAAAAATGTAGGGCAAATGTTCTACACGAAAAAAGCTAAATCCAATTACTGGTATTTTATACAAAATTCGAAATTTCATTCCTCTTAGATATTTGAAGAATATATATTTCTGTCTGATTGACTCAAAATTACAATATTTAATATCCATTTTTGGAAGCACAAGTATATCACATTTGAAACCATTATATGCGAGTAGAATACTATACTTTGTCCACGACTACTATTGTTTTTGATGTGTAAATTTATTTTCAACAACTTTTATCATAGCTCATTTGACATCAAGAAAACTAAAAATTGAAGATACCTGTTATATTAATTATTTGTCCACGACTGTTGTACTTCCTCGAGCAAAACGATTGCCATTTTTCACACCAGTTAATAATAGCGGTGAATAACCATAATTCACTGGTCTGAAGTCCTCTAGACCAGTGAATTATGGTTAGTCACTGCTATTATTCACTGTTGTGAAGAATGGCTACCGTTTTGCTCGAGGAAGTACATGTATTATGAATATTTCATACAACAGTCGTGAATAAAAACACTAAAATTACCTATAACGGTGAATAATTTCCTTGCTTTTGTCACTGTCAGATATTGCTTCGTTATCAACCAGTCTGAGAGCCATCCGAAACAAAGACTTCCTATTAAATTGCTCAAGTACGGGGCAGCAGACAATAATCCATTCTAAGAAAAAATAGAAACCAGATGAGAAGAAATTTTTTTCTAATTTTGACACATAGATAGACACTTTTCGAAATTGACGGAAGTTTTGAAACGCCTAACTTTACGTAAACAGTTGTGTTAAGTAAAATTTTTCGTGCTGCTTCTGCGATATCACTTGGGAAACCTGAACTTGAATTTGAACTCATATAGAGATGCTGGCTGTACTATGAAGAAAGCCATCAATATTGAGCTTACCAAATATCTGGAGAGCTCATGAATCATCAATGATGGACAATACGGCTTTCGCCACCGAAGATCTACTGGAGATCTACTTGCCTACGTCACCCACTTATTTATGGCAAGCTTCATTAGAAAAACACAGGAAATCTCTAGCTTTCGCGTTGGACATATCGAAAGCATTCGACCGTGTTTGGCACGAAGGACTCCTCCACAAACTACCATCATACGGCTTACCACCTCAGCTATGCCATCTCTTATCGAGTTTTCTTTCAGGCAGATCGCTTCACGTGGTGGTGGGCGGTGTATCGTTTGATACCATTGGCATCAATTCCGGTATTTCACAAGGATCAATTTTGGCACCAACATTATTCCTTCTTCATATCAATGATCTGTTGGGAGTAACAACTTGCCCCATCCACAGCTTTGCAGATGATAGTACCCTCCATACTGCGTTCTCTTCCAGAATTACCATTTTTTCCCAGGAAGCTAAGAACTTACGGCGCAGGCAGGTCAATGCTGTCAACGAAGACCTTGTTGAAATCACAGCCTGGGGAACCAACAACCTAGCGTTGTATTCAACGCAACCAAAACTCAAGCCTATAGTTTCTCTAGAAAGGCGGAACTCAGTATGCCCGATATTGTTATGTCTGGCACCACCATCCCCACCAAGCCCACCATATCTATGCTCGGTATTTCCATCAGCAACACTCTTTCATGAGATAATCATGTCAGATCCATCGCAAAAGCTGCTTCACAAAAACTCGGATTCTTGTTCCGTGCGAAAAGCTACTTTACACCTTAACAGCTTCTCATGATCTACAAAGTGCAGATACTGCCTGTTCCAGAATACTGTTCCCACATGTGGGATTCAGCACCAAAACATACGCTGATGCTCTTAGATTCCATCCAGAGAAGAGTCATTCGCCTGGTGGGTGACGCTACACTCACTCACTCTTTGGCATCATTGGAAAACCGTAGGAAGGTCGGCGACCTTTCACTTTTCTATCGATACTTCCACGAGAAATGTTCTTCGGAAATCTCTGCTATCATCCCTTCACTAGCAATACCAGTCAGACGAACTAGACAAGCCTAGTCAGCACATCCTTTCGTTGTCAACCTCGAAAAATGTCGAACAGCAAAACTCCTTCATCCATAGAACGGTTAGGCTCTGGAATTCATTGCCTGAGGAAGTATTCCCAACAACATATAATCTCTAGAAGTTCAAAAAAAATTCCAATACCTACCTCCTGTCCCTATCCTCCCTAGGAACGCACGATGTTCTTTGAACATTCTAGGGATTTCTTTTCGTGCGCTCCAAGCGATAAAAAAAGACAACTTACCGCTCATTAGGTAGTCAGGCAAGAACGGAAAAATGTATACGAGAGCAGATAATTACGAGTATACAATCCAGTTTTTTGAGAATTTTTTTGGACATTCCCCATTTTTCCCTTGAATCTTTCGAATTATTTTATGTTTTCGATGATTTTTCCATTCAAATATGATTTTCATTTCTTGTAGTTCAACTTTATTGCTCATAATACTCCATCAAATGAATCCAGATGGTTTGATTTCAGTTTCCTACAACTTCCAAAAAGTAAGAAGGTTTTAAACTTTGAAATGCATTTTTCTCGAAACTCACTTTTTGTGACATTCCGACTTTTGTCCCCTGTGGTCTTCATAATAATGGAAAAATTCATCGAATGAAAAGAATCAAGAATTATTGCAAAATGATCTCTCATTGCAACTCATTGATTTACCCAAACAAGTAGTATCAAAGACCCTGAGAAACATACAAAGAGTGGAAAACTGAACTTACAGATTCTATGTCAAAATGCAAAACTTTATCCAACACCACAGGCATTTCAGTTACAGCTATAGCTATTCCCCATCCTTGCAAAAGGTTCATCATTATCAGCGTCCATACCGGTACAGAAGTAAATATTGCTTTCCAAGGAACTGCTGTGTCCTGTAAAAAAACACTGAAGTGAGCATTATGTTCCTTGATTCATGTGCCAATGCGTCGATGTGTTTGCCCAATATATAATAATAATTGGAGAACGTAATACCTACTTTTCCTACTGTGGTCGCCAGTGACTCTTCAATATATCTTTTTTCTTCCTTGGTGATTCTGCTGTGTGAAGCTGGACTACCAGCTCCGAAATAGTAAAATGAAAATGCCCAGACGAAGCCAAGGCAGCCGAATATGTAGAAAACAGCAGGCCATCCTAGTGAACTTTCGCAAATATAACCACTCAGCGGCAAAGTTATGATCACTCCAGTTAATATGCCTGAAAATAGGTTAGTAGGCTTTGGAAATGTATGAAAAATAACTTTTGTAATGATGTTAGTGATGAAAGTGTGACAACGAAGGTTACCAGGCCAAGAAGTTCATGATTTTTACAAAATGCTATACCATATCGCACTTCAATTTTTTTTTTCAACTTTTTTAATTTGGCTATCCATACAGGGTATGTCAAGTCCGGAGAAATCAATGAAAATGGGCATGCTTATATTTCAGAATACGTTCTCTTTATTTAAAATATTTTCGACAATGCAGTGTTGACGCATCTACTAGAAAGTAGTAGCACCATTGATATTTCGAATGGAACACCCTGTATTTTATCACATTTTTAGATTTTCCCTGAAGAGCTGATTTCATCGGTTTATCGCACTTGGGGTCTATCGAAAATAATTACAGAAAAATAGGGTGTTCAAAATCGAGATTTTTCAACTTTAGGATTTTTTTGTGTCGAAACTATTCATTATCGGCCAAAACAGCTCACATGTCCCTATCTCAACTTTTGATTCACTATTCACTGATATTCAATCGGAACAGATACGAAGGCGCTTCAAGATTCAGAATTATGATTACCCTCTGTATCTGTTCTGATTAAATAAATATCAGTAAATAATGATCAAAAGTTGAGATAGGGACATGATTGTGAGCCATTTTGACTGATAATGAATAGTTTCGACACAAACAAATCGTTAAGTTGAAAAAATCTCGATTTTGAACACCCTATATCTCTGTATTTTGCAGAAATTCCTGAAAATTGCAGAAACTGCAAAAATTGCAAAAATTACTGAAGATTGAGAAAATTGCAAAAATTACTGAAAATTGCAAAAATTGCAAAAATTCCTGAAAATTGCAGAATTGCAAAAATTTCTGAAAATTGCAGAAATAGCAAAAATAGCAAAAATTCCTGAAAATTGGAAAAAATTGCAAAAATGCCTGAAAATTGCAAAAATCGCAAAAATGCCTGAAAATTGCAAAAGTTGCAAAAACTCCTGAAAATTGCAAAAATCGCAAATATTCCTGGAAATTGTGAAAATTGCAAAAACACCTAAAAATTGCAAAAAATGTAAAAATTCCTGAAGATTGCAAAATTTCCTGAAAGTTGCAAGAATCCCTGAAAATTGCAAAAATTCCTGAAAATAGCAAAAATTGCAAAAATTCCTGAAAATTGCGAAAATTCCTGAAAATTGCAGAAATCGCAAAAATGCCTGAAAATTGCAAAAATTCCTGAAAATTGCAAAAATTGCAAAAATTCCTGAAAACTGTAAAAATTGCAAAAATCGCAATAATTCCTGAAAATTGAAAAAATCGCAAGAATGCCTGGAAATTGCAAAAATGACTGAAAATTGCTAAAATCGCAAAAATGCCTGAAAATTGCAATTTTCGCAATTTTCAGGAATATTTGCCATTTTCAGGAATTTCTCCAATTTCCAGGAATTCTTGCAATTATTGCTATTTCTGCAATTTTCAGGAATTTTTGCAAAAATTGCAGAAATTCCTGAAAATTGCAGAAGTTGCAAAAATTGCGAAAATTCCTGAAAATTGCAAAAATTCCTGAAAATTGAAAAATTCCTGAAAATTGCAGAAATAGCAAAAATTGTAAAAATTCCTGGAAATTGGAAAAAATTGCAAAACTTGCAAAAATTCCTGAAAATTGCAAAAATCGCAAAAATGCCTGAAAATTGCAAAAATTGTAAAAATTCGTAAAGATTGCAAAATTTCCTGAAAATTGCAAAAATTCCTGAAAATTGCAAAAATTCCTGAAAATTGCAGAAATAGCAAAAATTGCAAAAATTCCTGAAAATTAGAAAAAATTGCAAAAATTGCAAAAATTGCGAAAACTCCTGAAAATTGCAAAAATCGCAAAAATCCCTGGAAATTGTGAAAATTGCAAAAACTCCTAAAAATTGCAAAAATTCCTGAAGATTGCAAAATTTCCTGAAAGTTGAGAGAATCCCTGAAAATTGCAAAAATTCCTGAAAATAGCGAAAATTCCTGAAAATTGCAAAAATTGCAAAAATTCCTGAAAATTGCAAAAATTGCAGAAATTGCAAAAATCGCAAAAATGCCTGAAAATTGCGAAAATTCCTGAAAATTGCAAAAATTGCAATAATTCCTGAAAATTGCAGAAATTGCAGAAAAAGCAAAAATTGCAAAAATTCCTGAAAAATAGAAAAATTTCTGAAAATTGCAAAATTTCCTGAAATTTACAAAAATTCCTGAAAATTGCAAAAATTCCTGGAAATTGCAAAAATTGCAAAAGTTCCTGGAAATTGCAAAAATTGCAGATTGCAAAAATTCCTGAAAATTGGAAAAATTCCTGGAAATTGGAAAAATTTTAAAAATTCCTGAAAATTGGAATAATTCCTGAAAAATGCAGAAATTGCAAAAAATCCGAAAAATTGTAAAAATTCCTAAATTCCTGAAAATTGCAAAAATCGCAAAACTGCCTGAAAATTGTAAAAATTGCAAAAATTCCTGAAAATTGCAGAAAAAGCAAAAATTGCAAAAATTCCTGAAAATTGCAAAAGTTCCTGGAAATTGTAAAAATTTCAAGAATTCCTGGAAATTGGAAAAATTCCTGAAAAATGCAAAAATTGAAAAAAGTCCGGAAAATTTTTAAAAATTCCTAAATTCCAGGAATTTTTGCCATTTTCAGGAATTTTTTCAATTTCCAGGAATTTTTGCAATTATTGCTTTTTCTGTGTACGTAAATCACGCAAACCGCAAACGTAGATCCGTGAAAACGGATGCATGTGAAAGCAGCTTCAGAGTCAGATATAAAAACGAATTCATACGATGTGTCAGCTATCAAAATGCATCCATACAAAATTTCAACACAATGTTGCCAGTAATTTTGACATAATCGTGAAAAAAGTGTGAACAAATTATTTTTTCAAAACGTTTGAACGTTCCTGTAGGACCAATATCAACTGAAATAGCTATTGAGTATAATATAAACAATCACCCTGTAGTGTCGTAGTATTTATCCATACCTATGGGACATTTCTCTAAATTAACCTACACAGGCAGTATTTCCCTATGAACTTTGAGCAGCTGTTGATAACAGGATTGCATGGCGAAAACGCTAGGTACCTAATAAATTAATGATCCAGTTCGATATCATACCTAATTTCTATCGTATTTCATAAAACGCATCAAACTTTATATAGGAGTGGTCATTAATTCAAAGCACGTTTATGTAATATTCACCTGTGTCTCTATTCACCAATATGCAGGAGTGGCCAATTGCAGTATTAATGAATATTGGTTTTCAAAGTGATACCGCCATTTTGTTTCGTGAACAAACATAAAAAATATGAAGTAAGTGATCTGTCTTGATCAATTATTTTCGCTCAAACAAAAACAAAATCGAAGAAATGAATGAAAAAATATTTGTTTCTCAAAGTGATTTAATATCCCACTGACACAGATGATGAGAAACCTAGGATCTCAAGACAAATTGATTCAATGGGAACTTCTTTAATCTATTGTCAGCTGACAATAAGATACCATCAGAATATTTGCACAATTATCTTATCCCAAGAAATTAAATTCATGATCGACACCTTCGAAATATGAGGACGTACGATATCCACCAACACAGAACATTAAAATCTGAATATTGATCTCTCCTGATGTCAGTTTTATGAATAAAATTGAAACTTTTCATATTCTGTTACCAGGTACCTACTTTCAAAAGACTATATTTATGCATAAATAGCAAAACAATAGTATATTGAGCCGTAGGCGATTGCTGCAAATCAAAAGAGTGGGAACCAATAAAAACAAAGTGAACATGCCGCTTCGACAGCTTTCATGAACTCCGATAGGAGGCGTACGCTTATTTTCTATCGCGAATAGGGGATTTATGTAACAAACAATTATTATTTTTCAATATTTCTCTATTTTCACAATAAATAGTGCAATTTGATGGTGATTTGGTGTCCGAGTGTAGAAGTGCCTTAGAAAATATGGCAAAAACTAGGAAAGTCAGCCTCATGTGGGTTCCAGGACACTCTGGTATCCCGGGGAACGAGGAGGCAGACAGACTAGCCAAGATCGGTTCAGGAACGACACCCATTGGACCAGAACCGATATTGGGAATACCCAATAGTACGGCTATGTCCTTCATGAAGGAAATGCTACAGAGGCAGTTCCTTGAAACATGGCGGGACACACCAGGAATGAGACAATCAAAGCTCCATATAAAGAAACCTTTAAAAAGGCTCACGAGAGAGATCCTGTCACTTAATAGAAGGGATCTCAAGAAGGTAGTTGGGCTCTTAACTGGGCACAACCACCTCAACAGACACCTAGAACTCATAGGGATCAAAGATGATCCCATCTGCAGATGGTGCTTGGAGGATGATGAAACATCATCACACATACTCACTGAATGCCCCGCGCTGGTGCATCAGAGGAAAGCTGCCTTTGGGAGCATTGTACTGCACCCAAAGGATGTGAAAGTGACTCAGCTGAGGAAGCTGCTGAAATTCGTCAAAGAAATCGGCATGCCCAGCTGATTCACAGGACAAGTGGGCGCACAATGGGCCCGACTGAAGAGGCCTGAGTGCAGGGGTCTACGCACCCGCCCACCTGTGCAGAGAAGAAGAAGAAGAAGAAGAAGTGCAATTTGATGGTTGATTTTGTATGTACAAACTTAGTAAATACTGCAACGAAAAAACTAAAATTTTGCGAGAATATTATATAAATTTATTTCCCACACTAGTGTGAGAAAACTTTTCCCGCACTACTGCGGGAAAATGAAACTTCCCAAATCAAATTTCGTGCTGGTATAGGACGAATAACGTGGAATTACGCACGCTTGTAGAAAAAATATGTTTCTATTCTATTTCAATTCAACTTACCAACGTATGGTGCTACAGCCATTCTGGACCGTTCCTCCACCACAGCCCACTTGCCCATCAAATTGTGTATCCCCGGGTAGAACACCCCTTGGGACAGCCCTTGTAGCACCCTGCAGGTTATGACGCCTGTGGAGCCGTATTGCATGGCCATGGAAGGGATCATCATGCTGAAGAAGGAGTTGAGGACCATGCAGACCAGCAGGATCCTCTTGGTGCCGAGTTTCTGCATGAGGAGCCCCCCGGGGAGCTGGGGCACTATGTAGCCCCAGAAGAATGCCGATAGGATGATGCTTTTGTTGTCCCAATCAAAATACTAGCGGAAACAATGATTATATGAAACTTGGGTGATTGTTTATACAGGGTGTCCCAGAATTGCTGGGACACAGAGCTACCACATATAGAAGAGGTCAAAATGAGTTGATTGGACCCAATTTATTTATATGCCAAAATGTACCGTTTGTCCGTGAGAAGGGTTCGAAGTTCACATAAAAAATCACATTTTTGTACGCTGTTCAGAAACAAGTGGAACGAATTTGATGAATTTTGGCAATAGTGTATTTCAGAGGATTACTTTCTATTTAGTAATTCAAGAAATCTGAAAAAAATTGTAGAAGGGTTAAAACCACCCTCACCCCCTGAATTTTTTTTCAGAACTTTTTTAGGGGTCATAATAGGGTTCTGAAATTTTTTGAGCTTGAAGACTAATCAATTACCTCAATTTTATTGCTCTGGTGTAAATTTCCTATACCGCATAGTTTCGAAGAAAAAAAATGTTCTCTCAATTAATCTCTATCGTTTAGGGAAATAAAGTACCACTAAAAAATAATTATTTATTATACAAGGAAAAAAAGTAGTAGATTTCAGCTCCGCGTCGGGAGACAAAAAACCGTGAGCTAAAATCTAATATTTTTCCCGTGTATAATACACTATTTTTTTCTGTGACAGACGAAAGGACGAATCAATATTGAGAAGATATTATATTATTTTGAAATCTGAAATTTATCGACGTGAAATTTTAAGTTTATAACAGTAGAGACACCTGCGTTGTAGGAATCTTTATCATTTTTTTGAAGTAATCAAATATCTGATGTCACTTCTGTTAGTCTAATTCTTGGATTTGATATCAAAAAATTGCGAATTTAGTGGTTGTTTAGTAATATACGTAACCGCGAAGTCGAATGGAAGATAAAAGGACTTGCAGTTCTTCTCGGAGACGTTATTATTGACTCATTTTTCGGAACTATAGCACAACAAAAGCCATCGATAGTGTATATTATGTGATATATATCCGGGAAAAAAGTAATTTATGAAAAGTGACATTTTATAACCTGCCAACACAGATGAAATGCGAAACATTTTTCCCGTCACTGAAAAAACAAGTTTATGTAAAATTTCTAGATTTACGATGCTTCTCTGCATTTTCTAGTACTAGATTCTGAATGTCCATGAAGATACTTTACTTTTGTCCATTTTAATGTTTCTGTAAGGCCAATATTTACTGAGATATCTATTGAGTAAAATATAAACAATCACCCTGTACAGGGCCATTCCTTATATTTAAACAGCTTCTATAGAATTCATCATTGAAGATGGCAAAAAACTTCGAATACAAAAGTTTTAGAGTTCTGAACCTCCAGAAAATTGTACGAGGTGAAACAAATATGAATATCGCTGATATAAGAAATGGGTTATTTTCAATGAAACACCCTAGCCCTAGGTATATAATTTTCGAAAAACCGAAGATGTTCTTTTTCTGATATTAAAAATAGATATATAGGTTGTTGATATTCGGTTCCGGTCACTGGAAAATCAAATTAGAAGGGAGCTCTGCTGGACCACTCCAAGATACTGTGTGAAATAAAAAATCACCAAACTCTAGGAATGGTCGTCTCTCTCTGCATTTTTTGTGCACAATGTGATGGCATGCTTGGATTAATGAATAGCAATAAAAACACGATTCGTATGCCAAAATATTGTGAAAAACTATTTCAATCCTTGGATTCCTTTGATTAAAAACAAATGAGAAAAGTGAGGTTGTCAAGCTGTCAAAAAGTAGGTTTCCATCTCCCATTTGCGATCAACAAATTTCTTCGCGATATACCAGGTGGTCCAAAAATTAGTAGGGAAGGAACGGACTTTGAACGGGCACTGTATAAAAGTGAGATTTTTTTTCTTACCGGTATATCTGGATTGGAGCTTGTTTGTGAGGTCATGGCATTGATTGCTACAGTGATATGTATCCTCGTTGAGTAAGCTATGGCAGCGAAGAAGAAAATGAGTAGTCCTTGTACATGTCTGGTTCCAAAAACGGGACCTAAGAGAAAGCAATTTCCTCATGATTAGGATACACCCCTCTACTATACTATACCGGTTGATTTTCCAAATAAGTGGCTCATCCCTACAACTTTTTCATTATTGAATGTAGTGCTGAAACGAAGTTTTGAGGTTGTGAATTAGAGTTCAATTGACATTTGTTGGCCTGTTTACTTGCTTTGATGTACTTCCGGTTTAACCGGAAATGAACCCAACTTTCTATTTTTTTTCCATAATCGGTTAGAGATTATTATAAGGAAATCAATGATTTCGAGTTTGATAGCGGTTATTCAAAATTATCACGAAGATATTTGCAATCAAAGTTTCCATATGCTCAACGGGGGTGATGGCGCAATATCGAATTTTCTTTCTCTCTCATTTTCATTAAGCATATGGGAACTTAGAATACAAATATCTTCGTGATCGTTTGAATGAACGCTATCAAACTTATTGGTACCGTTGAATTCGATATGCTGATCCCTAACCGATTATGATACAAAATACAGGGTGTTCCATTTGAAATTCGAAAGTTGGGGTCATTTCTGGTCGAACCGAAATACTTACTACAAAGCAAGTAAATATGCCAACGAATTCCAATTAAACTAACATTCACAACTTCCAAATTTCGTTTTACTACATTCAATTATAAAAAAGTTACAACTGACCCGGTATAGGAGGTTTTTCATGTTTTTTCTTCTACTTAAAAATATCGATAGTTTCACACTACACTGTTTTACTATTAACCAAACCGATTATTTAAACACCCCGACACGTATTTCGCTAACTATGTTTAGCATCTTCAAGAGAAGATGAACACCAGAATGCAGCAATAATACCATCAATTAATTTGATTCACCTTTATCAATGATTTTTGTCTCCATTAGGTACTATAGTTCTATCTACTTATTTGATTGAATTTTACACATCTGAATGGTATGTTATTGTTCAATGGAAAATTATAATACAGCCAGACTTTTTTGATCATTTGAATGACTACTTATAGGTATGTATACCTAATGAATAACTAATCTTATCTGCAGATTCGTTTTGTTTTATATTAATAAGATTCCCCAATCTCAACAGTATTCGTGATATTGACAGAGATTTTCGAATTTTATAGTACCTCTATATTCATATACATATTATAATGAGTGTTTCAAATCTCCGCTATCTGTGGAGATATCACTCTCATTTCAATTCCAAGATCTTCAATTGTTTAAAAAATTGCTGATTCATTTTTTTCAGTTCGGATATAGAATCACGATGAAATTATTGACTTTCGAAATTTTCGATTTTGAGATCTCTCTTATTAGTCGTATTCATGAACAAAAATGGTTCGGAGTAAGTCTGAATATCTCTTGGATTATAATTTTGGATTTCACGTTCAGTGGCTAATTCTCTTCAGAAATGAATAGTTAGATTATTCTTTTTACTGGACCCAGTGGCGTATCTTCGCGGTACCTTCCCTATATGCCGATAGAAAGACCACTTTTCGCAGTTAACTTCCAAACGGTAAAAGCCACCAGATTCAAATATCCTGCATGAATGTATGTTCATAAATTACATTTTTCTGATACAATTTTTATATTTCTGATATTGTTATAAAGGGTGTTTTTTAGAGTATGGGTCATGATTTTTGGAAGAATATTCTTTTCCTCGTATTCTGTTTGGTGATAAAATAGAAGCATCTGATGTAGCGAGAAAAAATACATAAAAACGGCACTCTTTTCAAAATACAAAAATTGTTACCATTTTCGAGATATTTGTGCAGATTAATTCATCGGTAACAATATTTTAGGAGGCCATGATCAATTTTATTCATAATTTTTTTGACGTTTATGACATGAACATTGTTATTGTTGATTTCCTTGTTTAGTTTTCTGCTAAGTATAATATTATTACTGTGATTTTCAATCAATCTCAACGGTAACAATTTTTGTATTTTGATATGAGTACCGTTTTCATGTGATTTTTTTCGCTCTATCGAATGCTTCTATTTTTTATCCAAAAAGAATGTGAAGGAAAAAAGTTGTCTTCAAAATCATGGCCCACCCTCTAAAAACACCTTTCATAACAATTAGAAATGTAGAAGTGTATTAGAAAAATTAATTTTGTCAACATACTTTTATGCAGGAAATTTCAATCTTTTGGCTTTTACCATTTCGAAGTTATGAGGGAATATTATTTAAATTTCATCAACTGTGGAATGATATAAAATTACTATACTCATTTTCCCTTCAGAAATAAAAAAGTAGTTAGGTACACGGTTTGAAATACTTTGTATATTTTTAAACGAACACGGAAATGATGGTTATTTCACACGAGAATGAAGTTCGCAGCATGAGCCGTAGGAGAATGCTCCAAATCATACGAGCATTCCGTGCGAGTTATACACTATTCCTTTTCTACGGCTATAACAGATAATTGCGGGATTTTCAATTTCTTCGGCTTTTGTAGCCATCTCATTTTCTCTTAAGTAACACTCTATCAGACAGAGCTGTCATTGTTCGGAATTTTACATGTTATGGGGGTGAAATAATCTGAAATGTGAAATAATAACACAAAGAAGTCATTGTGTTATCAGATGAGGGAATGAAATTGAGGACATATAATATGTACCTCATTGATTTATCCAGAACAGTATAAAACAAGAGCAATTTTGTGTTATAGCCGTAGAAATAAAGTGGCATCTGATGCCCAATTTACAATTGCAACTGTCAATTAGTGCAATAAGAGTTCGTGAAAAAAAAGTTGGTTTAGAATCGAAGTTAAGAGCCGTTTGTACAAACTAATGGCAAAATGAAAATCAGGTCGAGACTCAATATATACAGGGTGTTTCGAAATTCGACCGACAACACTTCACAGATGGTATCTCTCGTGATTTGATGAATAATGAGGTAGGAACATAAAGGTCTAACGTGCTTAGTTATCGAGATACAGGGTGTTGAAACTGAGAAATAAAAATAGTTTTTCCCCAATATCTCAAAAACAGCTGATTTTTTTGCATTCAAATTCGATGAGCGAATCAAACTTCAGAATCTTAATTTCTAGACGTCGGATTCATATTTGACAATTCTTCCAGTGGCGCCATTAAGGGTGTATGATTGCATGATTTTCCAAAAAAACATGTGTTGCGATATGAATTTTGAAAATTTTATATGATTATATCAAAGACCATTCAATTTTGAATTGAAAATGCATACTTGATGGATCTCGATAGAACCCACCATTTCCGAGAAAAAACGAAAAATGTAAATAGTCTTCCAATTACTTCATTTCAAATCGATCAATCAAATGAGAAAAATTCACCCAAAAAACCACAACAGTATTGAAAAAACTCTTGATACGTATTTCGGCAACTGAATTGCCATCCTCAGAAGTCCTGAAAAGTAAAAAATAGTTCGCTGACTGAGATATTCTCCGAAAATAACCTGTGGGACTGAGGACTACTAAGGATGTCTACTTAGTTTCCGAAATACTTATTTATAGTTTTTTCAATATTGTTGTGGTTTTTTGGGTGAATTTTCTTTATCTGATTGATCGATTGGGAATGAAGTGATTGGAATACTATTTACATTTTTCGTTTTTTCTCGAAAATGGTGGGTTCTAACGAGATCCATCAAGTATGCATTTTTAATTCAAAATTGAATGGTCTTTGATATAATCATATAAAATTTCCTAAATTCATATCGCAACACATGTTTTTTTGGAAAATCATGCAATCATACCCCCTTAATGGCGCCACTGGATCAATTGTCAAATATGAATTCGACGTCTGGAAATGGAGATTCTCAATTTTAATTTGCTCATCGAATTTTAATGAAAAAAAATCAGCCGTTTTTGAGATATTGCGAAAAAACTATTTTTATTTCTCAACTTTAACACCCTGTATCTCGATAACTAAGCACGTCAGAGCCTTATGTTCCTGCCTCATTATTTATTAAATCACGAGAGCTACCACCTGTGAAGCGTTGTCGGTCGAATTTCGAAACACCCTGTATATCTATTGATGATTCCAGATTTGAGCTAATATCAACTTTATGATGCATTTTATCGTAACCATTATGATTGAACGCGTAATCTCACTGACAGATCCAATAAATCAGTGCAGAAGCAGACTATGCAATAAAATCGCAATTACAAATTGAGCTATTTATCTGTGAAATGCAATTATCTACCACGAAGGGCTCTATATAAGGAAAATCGATATTGAACAAGAATTGCTCTGTGAAATGTTGCAGAATACCATTATCTGAATAGACAGACAATATAATATAAAGATACGCTAGTTTTAGTAAGGCAAACCCCCCTTGATTTTTCTTTAACCCATTCAAAAAAAGCATGGGGAAGAGTAGGTTGAATCAGAGCAAAGTTGCACCAGTTCATACTCAACAAAATGCTGCTTTGAAATTGAAAAAAAATCAATTTTTTCCGGAGATATCCGGAAAAAAGAAAGATATCCAAAATCGTTTTTGTAATTATATTACTCAGTTTATTCGAAGAGATAGTTCAAAATTAATGTCACTTCATCATTGCCAGTTTTCCTCCTCTACAAAATGAAATTATCATGGCCATCATCAACTTCATTTTTTAAATAAGGACCTGGATTTTTTATTTCATTTTTCGATGGTTTTTGATCTCCATGTTATGATGGTGTAACAGAACAATGAATAAAATGTTTACTTCAGTGAAAAAATTGTTTATAAAAAGATATGTTAGAAACTCTCATTCTATGGACAGTATTGTTTAGATCGTATTTAGTGGGTAGACAACAATATGTACACCTGAATAATAACTCTAAATCTGAACTCAGAAATGGAGTCCCTCAAGGGTCCGTTCTGGGGCCACTGCTCTTCATCATATACATTAATGACCTCTGCTATCATTTGATGAAGAAGTGTCAAATTGTCCTTTTTGCAGATGATTAGTTCATTATTATCGCTCGAAATTGGCAATAAAGGTCAGTTTTGAAGAAACAGTAATTGCCAATAGTAGTCAAATTACCGAATTTGTTCTTCCTACCTTCCGAATTCGCATTAAAATTGGAAAGTTACGACACCTCACGTCGTTTTTCATCGAACTTTCTGTCCACCTGACTTCGACGTTTCGTTACAGATGGCAGCGCCGTCTTCAGACCCGTCTGAAGCCTGCCCCCCGGCCGGCACGGGCGACACGGGCTGAGGCGGGGGCGGCGGTCACGTGACCATGTGAGGCCCACTCTCCCTCGCATCAGAAGGGCGGCGACCTCTTGCCTGGCACCGGAGATGGGCTGCGGCCATAGCAAGATCAACATTTACCCCAGGAAATCGAAGAGCAAAACCGGTTCGAAGAAGTCAGGTTAGTTGGATAACTAGAGGCTCACAAGAAGAGAGTTCATATTCAACGCATTTCATGAAAAATTATTTGAAGGCATCTACACAGGGCCTTCTCTATCTCACTTAGAGTAGGCCCAGCTCTAAAGTAACCATTTATTGTGATCAATGTGGAGGACAGAATGGAAACATCAAGCTTGATTTCCTCTGAGATCGTTATACCCAGAACTTCAATAGAGAGTTGAAGTAATCACTGTACGTAGACCTCCACGTAAACGTTAACGTACGAAAAATAACGTTTACGTATTGTCGTTAAATTGAGATGAAGTCGCCACTTTGGTCGTCACTGTCATCATAACGTAATAATACATTTTGTTTTCGGTTCGTATTGGTCATTTTTGGTTGTGTGTTTAGATTCGAACATTTATTCATGTCAAAATTAGAGGACTCCTTGATGCAGAAGTCGTTGGTGATCTCGAATTTAATAATTTTGACTCATCGGCATATTTCGAGTATAGTTTGGTTAACGTACATTTAAGGTATACGTGAAGGTACGTGAGATACGTGACAACACTTCAACTCTCTATTATCCAGCAGATTGCCCACAAACTGGTTTCCAGAAACTCATAGCTCAATAATAATGATGATAATAATAATAATAATAATAATAAAATTCTTTACTTTGAGAAATAATTAGAATACATTGCAAGTAGAGCAACCATTGAACGAAATATGGTCATTCTCGAAAACAACTATACAGGGTGTTTCAAAAAAACCTAACCCCTTTGCTAGGGTAGGTTAAACATTGCAAAATAAGTTGGGTTGGCTCAGTGAACAAATTTCGTAACAGCATCCGTTTTCAAAATACAAGGTGTTGAAAAAATATTTTTCTCACACATTCTTCACGATTATGTCGAAACTAATGTCAACATTGTGATGAAATTTTGTATAGATGTGTTCTGAAAGCTGATGACACACCGCATGAATTTGTTTTTATATCTGACCGTACCGCGTACTTTTGAACATATTTTTTTTTGAGGTTAGATTTTTCAGTCCAAAGGAACACTATTCAATTTTACACCAAAATGATGCTCTTGGGTAAAACTCGCTACTGTGTACCGTTTTCGAAATATTTCGATTTGAAAATGCTGAAGCAATAACTCTGATTCTGGTATTAGAATAAGTATTATAAAAAACAATTATCTATTTATCAAGGACGAAAAACATAAACATTATTTCACTGCTGGTGTTATCGATTAAACAAAATCACATCAGAAAATATTTAATAAAATTTGACTAAAATCATCATCTAGTTAGAGTAAGGGTCCAAAATGTCCTCCTTTTTCACGAATACACAATTCGATCCTTTTTTCTGAAGAATGCATCAATCATCTCAACGGTTGAGTATCAGCTATGAGATCATCGAAGTGATGTTACGACATTTTTTTACTGAGCAAACCCAACTTAATTTGCAATGTTCTACCTACCGTAGCAAGGGGGTTAGGTTTAATTGAAACACCCTGTATACCATAAAATTCTTCCATTGTATAGGGTTCCAAGCTAATAAACAAATTATACACTTTTTGTATATGCAGTGAGTTTTTTGATAATTTTGATATGTTTTGGCAATTTGTTGAAACATTTGACAGAAGAGTACATTTTCAGTTACAATCAGTCAATGTATTGGATATTGCAGATTTACATGTCTAGGTCTAACAAAAATAACATACACTCTTGAATGTATAAAGCTGACACTGTTTGAATAATATTTTTCCTGAAATGGCCCCCACATGAATCGTTGAACTTCAAATTTAACATTTTTCTCAATCCTCGTTTCTAAATCAAGAACAGATTCTCAATATCTCGACTATTACCGAAGCATATGAAACTAGATCATTTACATAAGTTATGAAAAATATAGGACCAAGCACACTTCCTTGTGGAACACCTTCCCAATTTCAGTGTAATCTGATTGAAATTCTCCATTTTGTTTTCTGTTACTTAAGTAGGATTTCAAGAGATCCAGGGCCTTTCCTCGGATTCCAAAATTCTTGATCTTGTGAAACAAAACTGATTGATCTACATAGTCAAAAGCTTTACTGAGATCCAAGAAAACAATAGTGGGACAACGAAATGTGTATTCCTATCTATTTTATTGCTTTTCGCCACAACTGACACACTTCCACAACCTGGTATTACGTGTTGATATTGATTGTTCGAGAATTTATGTGATGAATAAATAATAAAGTTGGAAGTTGGCAACTTCACCTATAGAAAACTTCATCTGCAATTCACAGAATGGGAAACCTGTGGATTGTTTGGATCCATTCACTGAACATAGTTTATTCATGACCGGAATCGAATAACGAAGGTATAGCTGAGTGATATTATGTATACATACAGGGTAATTTTTGGTAGAAGTCCATATTGCTCAAAGTAGAGTGACATATTTCAAAGGAAGGAAGGAATGCTCGAAATAATCGGCATGTTTCGGTCTTATAAAAGACCATCTACAGCCTAATTGAAAGTTCTACAATTCCAAAACAAAATTAAAGATGAAGTGAAAGTATTTTGTTTGTGTTATTATTTCAAAAAAATCTCATCGCTCATGGAATGTCAAATTTCGAGCAATGACAACTCTGTCCAATAGATGAGCATTACTTGACAGGAAATCAGATGGCTACAAGCCGAAGAAAATGCCGCTGTTTCTGATACAGCCGTAGAAAAATTATAGTGTATAACTTGCACGAAATACTAATTTCTACTCGAATTATTTTTTTTATCGCTTGGAGCGCACGAAAGGAAATCCGTATAATGTTCAAAGAACATCGTGCGTTCCTAGGGAGGATAGGGACAGGAGGTAGGTATTGGAATTTTTTTTGAACTTCTGGAGATTATATGTTGTTGGGAATACTTCCTCAGGCAATGAATTCCAGAGCCTAGCCGTTCTATGAACGGAAGGATGTGCTGACTGGGCTTGTCTAGTTCGTCTGACTGGTATTGCTAGTGAAGGGATGATAGCAGAGATTTCCGAAGAATATTTCCCGTGGAAGTATCGATAGAAAAGTGAAATCCAATGATGTCAAAGAGTGAGGGAGTGTGGCGTCACCCACCAGGTGAATGGCTCTTCTCTGGATGGAATCTTAGAGCATCAGCGCATGTTTTGGTGCTGAACCCCATATGTGGTAACAGTATTCTAAAACAGGCCGTATCTGCGCTTTGTAGATCATGAGAATCTGTTGAGGTGTAAAGTAGCTTTTTGCACGGAACACGAATCCGAGTTTTTGTGAAACAGCTTTAGCGATCGATTTGACATATGATTTTCCTATGAGAGTATTGCTGATAGCCTTGATCTGATAGTAATACCGAGCATAGATAAAGTGGGCTTGGTGGAAATGGTGGCACAAGACATTGATATATCAATCTCAATCCATCAAAATTGCGTCGTTAATAATATTGTAAATTTGGAATGGGTATATTTTCACCTTTCCTTTGAAATGTGTTTATGAGTCGTATTTTATGAGTGCTGTAGATGTGCTGGGAATTGTAACATTGGCACGACTGCATTATTTATTTGACGTTGTTCAGCAGTGAATATGCAAATGTTTGTTTCCATATGCGATACACACACCACACAAGACCCTCAAAGTTTCGAAATCTGCTCAGGTACACACATTGGAGTAAATCAGGTCAGGAGTTGAGGAATAGATCAGTGGAAATCCAGGAAAATCAATATAACTACAATTTTTTTTTTCATCTCTTGGAGCGCACGAATGGAAATTCCTATAATGTTCGGAGAACATCGTGCGTACTTAGGAAAGATAGGAAGAAGTGGTAGGTATTTGATTTTTTTAAACTTTTGGTGAAGTGTTATTCGACATAATTATTTCAAGATTGACAACGAAATGATGTGCTGACTGGGGTCGAGTTAGTCTGACTGGTATATTGCTAGCGATAGAGTGCTAGAAAAGTGAATGGTCGCCGACTTTTCTACGGTATTCCAATGAGGTCGAAGGGTTAATGAGTGTGGCATCACCCATCAAACGAATGGCTCTGTAGATCATGAGAAGCTCTCTCTATTCATCTTTCAAAATTCAGAACAAGATAAAGACATGTAATCCGTTTTCATCAATAATGAATAGTTTCGACACAAAAGACTCCTAAAGTAGAAAAAGCTCGATTTTGAACACCCTATATCTCTGTAATAATCCTTGCTAGATCCAAAGTATAAGATACATTGGTGAAATAAGCTCTTCAGGAAGAATCTGAAAATGCAATGAAATACAGGGTGTTCCATTTGAAATATCAAAGTTGCTACTACTTCCTGGCATAAACGGCAACGCTGCATTACTGACATTATTTTAGATCGATAGACCAAGAGCAACTATTTGGGTAACCCAATTTTCAGAATGATCCTATATAAGTCCCGTGGAAGAATCTATAGAAAAGTAAAATGTCGCCGACTTTTCTATACGGTATTCTAATGATATTAAAGAGCTAGCGAGTGTGGCATCACCCACCAAGCGAATGACTCTGTAGATCATGAGAAGCTCTCTCTTTTTATCTTCTCCTCTCTCGTTTCTTCTTTATCTTTTTCTGTCCCTTTCTCTTTATATCTCGATTTTATTTTGTTTGTTTTAGTGACAGCAGATAAAACTGAATCAGAAGATGAGGATGGCATAGAGTTAGAGGCAGATCATTCTGAGAGCATAGAAGACTGTGATTCGAAGAAAACTTCGATAAAACTGAAACATTTCGGTGGCCCTCTGTTGGCGCAGGCGTAAGTATTTTTTGCGACATCGCTGATTTTATCGATGTATACCTTGATATTGATGAATATCCAGAATTTGTGTATTACAGAGAAATTTCAACTAGCCAACAGGATTTCTTCAAGATGTTGGACGAAAAGATACAAAATGTAAGTGATATTTACACACAAAATAATATAAACGAATCCCACTTCTTGCGGGTATTGTCAGCAAATTTTTGAAAAAAACTCATAAAGTAAACAACAAAATTGATGGAAATCGCACTAAGCTTCATAGAGATACATTCTTTCAAAACTTCAACACGCTATAACATGAAAACAATAAAGAAATATTGAATAACAATATTTCGTACCTCTCGACTTATTCTGTATTGTAAATTGCATTGAATTACATCCTCCCGAAAATGTTCTGCGTGGTATATAGCCAGGAAAGTAGCTGTTTTTCTCTTGTTATCTACCATTTTCGTTCATTTTGTGAACGATTGGGGTAATGACTTTTAGTTGCTCTATATCTCTCTCTTACCATTCACTTTTAGTATTTTGGTATTTCCTGGTAGAAAATTTACTGTGTCGATCAGTACTGTCCTATTTTTTATAGGAAAATGTTAAAAAGTATTGAAAAGGAATATTCTCAGATATAATAATGAACATAAAAAATGGATATACATATACAGTGTGTCCCACTTACCATGCTCACCATGGGTTTCCTTTAAACGGTGAGAGATACGAGGTCGGTTGAATGACGCCAAATGTGGAGTTTGTCAAGGCCAACTATAATATGAAAAAATAACTTGATAAAATCTATTCGTTTTTGTTTTATACGCAAAAAACAGGTTTTGATCATTTTCATTATCTCCTACGTCACTTCTTTATTTATGAAAATATTCAAATAGGAATTTCACATTCTCATGGCCGTTTTTTGAAGTGATTTCGAAAAAAATATTAAATTTATACCAACCCTTCTAGAAATTGAGATATCAGCACCAACTTTAGTTTTTCAAACGTAGGTCATAGCTCACTATGACTTAGTTACAAGTAACTTTTTTTTCTCTTACAGATGATATGTCGCAGTAATAGGTTTGTGTTGATAACAACGGAGTTATCGTCATTTATACAAAAACAAAAAATTATTTGGAAGCCGCCATCTTGAATTTATAATTTTTAACATAAAAATCGTGATCTCCGACCTCAAAAACCCCCACTTACCAATTTTGAATGGAATCGGACCAAATCTTGTCCGCCATCTTGGAGCAGCCATTTTTTTAAATTGATCGAATGAATTCATTTTGGATATCAAATCCTCATCAGTAACCTGAAGTCCAGTTGATTCTTCACGATATACAAAAAAAAGGAAGGAAAAAGTACACTTGTCATTTTTTTCCTTATCAATAAAAATCATACTAAACAATCACCGCCTCGTCTCATACCAAAAGATCGGTCGGTTCTTACAACTTTAATTTGTTCAAAATGAAAATTCATGGAAAACCCTGGAAAACCTCACGAGTTTTCTTGTAGGGTCCTGATTACAACTCGGAAAGCGAGTCCGAAAGGGCGGCAGAAACGACGCGACTGCGCGCCCTTCTCAAGGACTGGGAGACAGCCAGCATCGGCTCCAGATCTCTGCCCCCCACCCCCCGAAGGCGCCCCCCCAGGTCAGCTGACGGAGGAGCGTACGTATCGCAGGTAAGGACGCAAGAATCTCTTCATTCGAAACCTCACATATTACTTTATTTGTTACCATACTCGTTACCTCAATTGTTACCTTTACTTGTAACCCCATTTGTCACTTCACTTGTTACCTTGTTACCTTACGTGTTGTTTATACTTGTTACTCTACTTGTTTCCTTACATGTTACCTTACTCGTTACCTTACTTGCTACCTTACTTGTTACCTTACTTGTTACCTTACTTGTTACCTTACTTGTTACCTTACTTGCTACCTTACTTGGTACCTTACCTGTTACCTTACTTGTTACCTTACCTGTTACCTTATTCGTTACTTGTTGTCTTACTCCTCAATTTACTCTACCTTATTCGGTACTTCAATACTTGTTACCTCATTTTCACCTCACTCTTTACCTCACTTTAGTTATTTTTATTTCTATCTTGCCCAATTCGACAGCTGAGTTTTCACATATATTGGGTTATCATCTCTATTATTTCCTCACTGGTCAACTTACTTACTTACTTATAACCTCTCCAATCAAAGTTAACTTGTTGTCTCACCTGATTATTCACTTGGATATTCACCTTTTCCGATCAGATTCGTATTTATTACTTCAATAGTGCCATGATTGTTATATTTTTTCTTTTTTTTACGTATTTTACTGTTTCATGTTATACATTTAACAGAAAATGAAAATTATTATCATTATTATCACTTGTTATCTTCTTTGTTACCTTACTTTTGAAGTTACTCATTGTCATACTTGATGTCTCATACATCAACTTACTTGTTGTCTTACTGGCTACCTCACTTGTTATATTACTTGTTATATTACCCTACTTGCTACCTTACTTGCTACCTGGCTTGTCAGTATACTTGTTATATTTATTTTATAGCTGATATTTTACGTGTTACTCTGAATTTATGGATACACACATACCTACCTCTATTGTAACATGAATGGTTGATGTTGATGTTAGGTACTTAATATTATGTCAATATTCACTGAGCTTGATACCTCACTCGATACATTATTCTCATCTTAATGGTTACCTCACTCATTGTTGCCATGTTGCCTTACTCGTATTGTTACCTGAGATTACACCTCAATGTTTCACTTATTTTTTTTACCATTCACACAGCTTTTATAGTCAATAGATAGTGATGAATATTGGTAAATGATGAATGTTGATAAAATTTGTGCAAGTGTGTGACGTAACACTCCGTCAGCAACAGGGCAAATATGAAAGTTCATTATATTAAAATATTGAAAATATTACAAGGCGGATCAATAAGAGATAATAAGAGATATACCTACTAAAGAATTGTAAATAAACTCCTCATGGCAAATACTCATATTTTTGGAAAGCGCAAAGCATCAATGTTTCAAATATGAAGAAACATACAGGGTGTTCCATTTGAAAAACATAGCTTTGGGTGAAATCTAAATAATGACAGCTTGTTATGAAAATCTGACTATACCACTGAATTTCACGTGGAAAACTGTTTGAGTGACAATTTCAACTTTTTCTATAAGTTGAAAGATAGCTGATATACAGGGGGATCCCAAAATGCAACATTTTAGATTTCGCCCTGTATCTCAAAGACGAAGTGGGCTATGGAAATTTTGTTTGCGGTATCGTGGGTTTTACAAAATAGTAGCCAATCACAAATGTCTATCTCTGAAAATAAGTGAGATATCCCGTAAGGAAATTGAAAATGGGACAGCTTGTATGTGTTGTACATACGTATATTTCCAGATAAGCAAACATTTACAGCAAACATTCATTTAGATTTTTATGCATGAAACTTCAGTTCTATTTTCATCTTACCAAACATTCAATTCTGATATCTCGTCTGTTTTTCAGTTTATTTATTTTCCACAGCAATATTGATTCGGATAAGATATCAGGAGTAATTCCGAAAACCCCACACAGAACCCGAGATTGCCAAGGCCCAATAAGTTTCACCGAAAAATCCAGAATTTATAGCTCACAAAAGCTGTAAGCTCCTATTAGAGCTTTTCTTCTGGAATCGTATTATGTATTTCGGCTAATGGACAACTTTTCCAATACCACAGATCCAATATTTTTTCTTCTTGTTGCAACACAGACGCAGCTCTAACAACTATGAGTACCTACTATAATCCTTTATAGGACCTCTGTATTGTCAGGTGATAATAATGATATTAATGATAAAATGATATTCTCATTCGAGTCGTATCAAAGCTAATCATGTAGGTATTCATACTAACAATGGCTATCAAGGAACTATACCGCCATATTATGCAGTGCTGTTTCCCAAGTAGAACATATACCGTATTCATTAGACCAGCCATGCTTTCCAGAGTTCTGAAGTTATGACATTCAAACTTAAGCGGAGTGTTGGATTCAAGAATTGTAAAATGTTTCGATATTTCAAGAATTTTCCACTTTCTGTTATAGTAATTTACCTAACAAGTACGGAAAAGTCACTTTACGCACTTGTTACAATATTTTTTTTACTATACAGGGTGTTTCGAAAAAACCTAACCTACATGCTAGGGTAGGTAGAACAATGCAAAATAAGTTGGGTTTGCTCAGTAAAAAACTGTCGTAACGCCATCCGTTTTCAAGATACAAGGTGTTGAAACAATATTTTTTTAACACATTTTTTACGATTATGTTGAAACTACTGGCAACATTGTGATGACATTTTGTATGGATGTTTCTTGGAATCTGACACATCGCATGCCTTTGTTTTTATATCTGACTTTCATAGAGGGCGCTAGTTACACGGTTCGTGAACTTGAACATCATTCAATTTCACACCAAAAAGGTACTCTTGGTAAAAGTCGATACTGTGTTCCGTTTTCGGAATATTTCAATTTGAAAATGATGAAGTGGAAACTGTTGCTGGTATAAAGCTATGTATTAGAGTGAGTATTAGGAAAAATGATCACCTATTTATTGAAAACCGAAAACAACAATACATTTCTGATGCAAAACTCATTGATTGAACAATGAATCACAAGAATAACATCGAAACAGATTTGAATAAGAACATGGATTACACAGTTTTGTTGTATCTTGGGCAGAAAGTCTATGCTACATAGGTAAATTCACGTCAAGAGTTGTGAGACATAATTGAACATCACTGAAATGACCTAACAGCTGATCCTCAACTGTTCAGAAGAATAATACATTCCTTAAAAAAGAATATAGAATCGTGTATTCCTCGAAACGTAGGACATTTTGAACACTTACTCTAACTGATTCAATATTTCATGTTTCTAGTCAAATATCTCTTAATTTTTCACTTATGATTCTTTGTTCCATCAATAACTTCAGCACAAGGATAATTTTATTGTTTTTGAACCTGAATAAATAGGTAATTGAACTCAATAAAATTCATTTTATACCAGCAGCATTACTACTCCATTATTTTCAAATCGAAATATTCCGAAAACGGAACATAGTATCGAGTTTCACCAGGAGTACCTTTTTGGTGTAAAATTGAATGATGTTCTAGTTCATATCATATTTGGATCGAAAAATCTAACCTCAAAAAAGTTATGTTCAAAACTACTCGGTACGAACCCTGTAACTAGCGCCCTCTATGAGTCAGATTTCAAGAAACATCCATGCAAAATTTCATCACAATGTTGCCAGAAGTTTCGGAATAATCGTAAAAAATGTGTAAAAAAAATATTTTTTCAACACCTTGTATCATGAAAACGGATGCCGTTACGACATTTTTTCACAGAGGAAACCCAACTTATTTTGCAATGTTCTACCTACCCTAGCAAGGGCGTTAGGTTTTTTTGAAACACCCTGTATAGCGTGCGAAATAAACCCCTTTTTCCACACTAATTTGAAAGTTGAAAGTTTTTTCCGCACTAGTACGAAAAAGTGACTCTTTCAACACTAAAATGCGTGCGGGAAAGTAAACGTATCCTCACGCTAGTAGGATCTGCAGAAGTTCGTGATCGTATTCAATACCCTTTAGAGTAAGTCTGAATTAAGACCAACTGCCCTTCAGGCTCGTACCACAAACTTTCACACTCGTGAGAAAAGTTTAACTTTCCCCACTTGTTGCACAATATACTAATTTTATTTAATAACGTCTACATGACAAAATCAAAATAATATAGTCTGGTCAAATAATAATAATGCAATAGTCTGGTCAAATTACAAAGATGCATTTCATAGTGCTTCAACTTCAACAGGAACAATGCGTTTCGGTAGAAATTTGTTCGACCACCATCATATCGACTTTCCTCCATTTCCAGATACCCCAGAGCGTCATCCACCAATCGTACGGCGTGGCGCAAACGCCCTTCCGGCCCACGCCCTACGCCAACCCCAACTACGTGTCGCAGAGTCCCTCGCACCAGATGGCGTACCCCTCTGCGATGCAGTACCAAGCCATCAGTCCCATGTACGCCAGCCAGCCGACGTACCAAGCACCACCGCTCGGGTACCAAGCACCACCGCTAGGGTACCAAGCGCCGGCTCTAGGACATCAAGGGCCGGCTCTAGGGCATCAAGGGCCGCCCGTCGGGTACCAGTCGCCCCCTCTGGCGAGACACACAGTAAGAAAAATTACCGTCAAATTAGGTGGCTTCCCACACAGTACCAGATATTTCATGAATATTCCAGGTATGGTCTGGAAATTGATGAAATAAACCTCTGGTGTACGCACTTCAATCCTTTCCTGTTTTACAATTCCTTGATTTTCGCCTACTTCGATGAACGCATAACATGGCGTGGGTGAATGTCGCTAAATTTAGTCTGGTGCCGTACCAAAATTACAGGCATCAATGTGACAATTGTGACCGAATTGTGACCAATGAAGATAGGGAATACATTTTGCGATTTAGCCGCATCAAGGTTGGTAGAACTGATGTTGATCATTAAGAATCACGCCATCTAACATTTGATATGTGAACCCCACGTCATCGTCTGAAATTCAATTGTTTATATCAAGAACCAGTCTGACG